AGACCTATATACACAATACTTATCATACAAAAAGTTGTTGGCAGAGTGAGGAGGAGCCAGGAATGTTCGTCTCAGAGTCATCAGGGAGTCGCTGGATAATCGCCCATGTGGGAACAAAAGATGGATTCATAAATAGTGCATTATTAATGTTTAAATCCCAATCAAAGTCCTCAGATTACCACGATGACATGAACTCTGCAAATTTCTTAAAATGGGTGACGGAAAAATTAATACCTAATCTACCTGAAAGGTCGCTTGTGGTAATGGACAACGCTCCTTACCATTGCACTCAATTAAACAAAGCCCCTTCAATGTCAAATATAAAAAGTAGTATGCAGGAATGGCTCCGGCAAAAGGGTATATATTTTGAAGACACCTGGAGAAAAGCTGTGCTGTTTGAGCTAATCAAACAAAATAAAGGTCCACCGACATTTGCAGTGGATGAATTATTAACAGCTCACGGACACGAAGTATTAAGGTTGCCGCCTTACCATTGCGACCTCAACCCGGTGGAGAAAATCTGGAGCCTTGTAAAAAGAAAGGTGGCGGATAAGAATGTGGCACAAGATCCAAAAGAAATTGTAAAATTAACTGTAGAGGCATTTGAGTCTATTACGGCGGAAGATTGGACAGCTCAGTGCACGCATGTCGAACATTTAGAGGAATATTTAAAAAATGACGGCCTTATGGATGAAGAGATGGACCGAATAATTATATCTACGGCTAGTGATACTGAAACAGAATCTGATTCAGTTTCCATCCACTCTTCAGACAGTGATGTTCCTATGGCCGCTGATCATAATTATTCAATAAAACTCTGAATAAAAAATTGTAATGCTTTTCTTTACCCTATTTTCTCATCTTTTCCCTGTAAGTAGGTAGAACACCGCTTATAAAAGTAAATAAATATATACTTTTTACATAACAGAAATATAGTAAATTATGTAAATGGACATTTTTATCAAAATGTATGTTTAAATAAACTTAAACTAGGAAATGTGACATCCCACGTTTCCCAGTACTGATTATGACCAAAAATCGTCGGCTTTTATTGCTTTGTTTTTAGTTTCTCACCTAAACACTGAAACTATTTAATAATAACACGACACTTACATAGTCATAATAACGTTAGTTAATTGGACTTATTGCATGAGTCATCCCATGAGTGGGTTGGTAGACATTTTGATAAAAATGCCCAAATATACATTTCACTTATCAGAAATATACATGTTTCACTAATCTGAACTATTGTTATAGTATTGGCTTGAGTAAAGAAATTACAGCCTATCTAAAATGTATTTATTTCTTAATACAATTTAATAGTTTCATCGTAGTCTGCAGGAAATAATATTATTTGATAAATTACATATGCTAAATGTAAAATAGGTAAATTTTTACTCATAAATGGCAACACTATGTCACGCGAGTACAGCGCTGCGGAGAGTTTTGGCGGGAAATTGACCGGCGGCGGTTTGCTGCTCCTGTATTATTGTTTAAATAATGGTTTGAAGTGGACTTTGATATGTAAAAGTGTTGCGATTTTGTGTATTAAGTGTCTACGCATGTGAACTATTAGTGGAAACAGTGAAACAAGTGCTCTGATGGTGATGGATTCTCAAGATAAGCTGTTTGTTTGCATAGGCACCTTTAGATACCATCGCCAACTATCAGCTGTCTGCTGGATCAAGTTGCCGCCAAAATCTCCCAAGAACTGCACAATGTGACGCATCAACATATTGTGAAGCAGTATACTATGAAGGAGTGGGGAAATTACAATAAACCGAATAAAAATACTTAAGACTTGGCCTAAAGGTCTAGATACCAGGCCATAAACTCCAAAAAAAAAAGTACAGCGCTGCGTCTGGGGGACTTCTTTCATGAAAAGGACTTTACAACGCAGTGCTTGTTGGTAGTAGCGACTCTAGTTACGTAGTAACATATTATCTCAATGTACGAAACGAATTTTTCATAATACACACCGGTGTGTATTTTTATGTTATAATTATTTAAATTTAAATTTATTAATGAATAACTTTTTATGTAATAATAATTTAAACTTGATATTTAATTGTTATAATTATAATAATAAATTTAATTTAATAAACATAAATAATTTAATTAAGAAATTTTTGACTACAGATAGGTATTACGTATCTAAATATATTTTAAGACAGATAGCAAATGTGCTATCTTATTGTTTATATTTATATATTAACTCAGCCAAGGACGTGGCTACACAGACATCTGCTCCTTTTGAGCAGTATAATGACTTAATATGTAATTTGGAATCAGTTCCAAGTAATTTAAATTAGAAAATGAGACAGTAGAGGTAATCTCTAGCAGTTGTAATAATTTAAATAATTTAGAATGTAGCTTACAAATCTTTAATTGTATGACTCCACAGAGTAATAATGAAAATTGTTTACACCTGGTGCATCAAAATATACAAGGCATGATAGGCAAAGAGCTAGAAATTGAGTTGTTCTTAAATAGCAACAATATTCATATTTTATGTATTACTGAACATTGGTTAAAAGCTTATAACTTAATGTTTAACTTCAGTAATCACCAGGTGGTCAGTTCTTTCAATAGAGAAACGGTTTTAAGAGGTGGCTCCTTAATATTAGCTAGTAAATTATTGTCATGTAAAGAACGTAAAGATATTGTGAGCCTCTCTGTTGAGCGAACTGTAGAAATGGCATATGTTGAGTTTGAGCATCTCATTGTTGTGAGCGTCTACAGACCCCCATGTTCTATATACGATACTTTTGAAAAAATTATGGAGAAGTTTTTGCTAAACTTAATAAACAGAATAAATCTGTTGTAATATGTGGAGACTTTAATATCAATCTCCTAGAAGCTTCCTCAATCAATATTAAATTTAGATCATTGTTTAAATCATATGGTCTTTTTAATTTATTTTTAGAGCCAACGCGTATTGCTCAATCTAGTGCAACATGTATAGATAACATTTTTACAAATGTGAAGCCGTTGCATAAATGCATAATTCAAAAATTAAGTTCTGATCACTGTGGGCAGGTAGTTTCGTTACCTTATGTTCACAAAAAGCAAGTAGATGAGAAAGTTGTGTTTGTTCCAGTAAATACACGTCGCTTGGAGAAATTTATTAGTAACATAGTGAAAAAACTTCCATCACTTTCACACCAAAATGATCCAAATTTTTTGTATGGAACATTATTTAAGCTTATTTGCAATGAATTTAATAATACTTTTACTTCTAAAACATTCTCCTTGAACAGTCGGAAGTCATTTAATGAATGGGCGACAGTAGGAGTCCATAGGCTGCGCACGGAGCCGTCCATTCGACGGCTCCGTGCGCAGCGCCGCGGGTTCGAATCTCGCACGGAACAAGTATTTGTATGGCCTACAAATAATTGTTCCGGGTCTGGATGTTTGTCCTTGTGCAATTTATGTTTGTAAACTGCCTCCACGACACAGGGGAAAATCCTAGTGTGGGGGTAACGTTTTTTTTTTTAAAAAAAAATAGGAGCAGACATAGGTTATATGATCTTTACCATGAAAGGTCATATAATCATAGCGTCAAATTTAGGGAATATGTGAAAAAATATTCAAAAATATCTAAGAGTGTGCTCCACAGCCAAGTCTTTGCATTTGAGCAACAAAATGAAGACGGCTTCTAATAAAATTAAAATAACATGGAGTATAATTAATAGCGAAACTGGTAAGATCAACTCTCGCAATTCAAACTACCAGTTAAGTGTTAATAACAAATTAACCGAATCAGATCAGGACGTTACAATGGTTTTTGAGAAATATTTTACTGATATTCCGATATTAACCACTAACTGAATTCTTCTCCTGCCGTCGCAGAATCATTAAACAAAATGTAAATGCGTGTACAAAGAATTTTGCATTTCATAAAGTATCATCAAAAGTTATGGTAAAATATTTTAAAACTATTGATGTTAAGAAAACTGCGGATCTGTGGGGGATTTCCGTTAAAGTTATTGCGTCTATAATAGATACAATTGCGCCTCATTTAGCTATTATTTTTAATACTAGTATCGAATCTGGTGTTTCCTGATTTAATGAAGCATAGTAAAGTAATACCTTTATTTAAATCTGGTAGTACATTAGACCCCGCCAATTTTAGACCTATTTCTGTACTACCAACACTTAGTAAGATTTTTGAAAAAATTATTCTTGATCAAATGTTAAATTTCTTTAATATTTTATTTATTCAAAGTGGAACAGCTAACAGCTACATTATATATATTACATACAGATAGTACAGTAAAATTAATATATGCAATAATGCAGCCCACAGATGATTAAGACGCTAGGAGACCTGTAGCTGTACAGAACGTATTATATAAGTGTCAAAGTATGGTCAGCAATGATATTATAATGTAACTGAGGTGACAAATTATTATTTGAAAAGTGTCTTGTATAAAAAACCACGAAACCTTTCCGTTGAGCATGTGAAAATATCTATATGCTCGAAGGTCTCATTATATGTGGCAACCATACGTCGAATCGGTGAACGTATACCGGTATTGGATCGACAGGCACACCTTTCGTCTATGGACAGTTCTGGGGACCGCATAACATAACACATTAATTAACTCAATACAGTCAAACTTGCATCTTACTATATGGAACAGTGTCATAGCCTCTAATTGCTTACGTCTAGATTCGAGGGTTAGAAGTTTGTATCTACTGAGTAACTGGTCATATGGTAGATAAGATTTATGAAATCTATAATGGATATATTTTTTTTCGAACCAGTGGTAATCATACAAAAGAGTGATAAGTATTATTTATAATCTATATTGAATAAAAAAGTTTCTGTTTCTGTTTCTATGTCTTATCAAATCAGGTTTTCATAAGCATTTATATTCACAGATATTACACAAAAAGGGGTTTTCTCCTGTTTGCAAACACGTAAAAATATTATGTGTTTGCAAATTACTTTTGTATTACATCTAAATTCACAGATATTATACGAAAAGGATTTTTCACCGGTGTGTATTTTTATGTCTTATCAAATCAGTTTTTCGTAAGCATTTATATTCACAGATATTACACAAAAAGGGTTTTTCTCCGGTGTGTATTTTTAGATGATTTTGCAATTGATCTTTTCTTATACATCTAAATTCACAGATATTACACCAAAAAGGTTTTTCTCCAGTGTGTATTTTCATATGCCTTTGCAAAATACTTTTTGTAACACATGTATATTCACATATATTACAAGAAAAAGGTTTTTCTCCTGTATGTATTTTCATGATATGTGTTTGCAAATAACTTTTTGTAATACATCTAAATTCACAGATATGACACGAATAAGGTTTTTCTCCAGTGTGTATTTTCATATGCCTTTGCAAAATACTTTTTGTAACACATGTATATTCACATATATTACACGAAAAAGGTTTTTCTCCAGTATGTATTTTCATAATATGTGTTTGCAAATAACTTTTTGTAATACATCTAAATTCACAGATATGACATGAATAAGGTTTTTCTCCGGTGTGTATTTTTAGATGATTTTGCAATTTATCTTTTCTTTTACATCTAAATTCACAGATATTACACAAAAAAGGTTTTTCTCCGGTGTGTATTTTCATATGCCTTTGCAAAATACTTTTTGTAATACATTTATATTCACAGATATTACACGAAAAGGGCTTTTCACGGGTGTGAATTAAAATGTGTGTTTTCAAATCATTTTTTCGTATACATTTATATTCACAGATATGACACGAAAAAGGTTTTTCTCCGGTGTGTTTTTGAATAACATGGTATTTCAAACTATCTTTCGTAATACATCTATATTCACAGTTATTACACGAAAAAGGTTTTTCTCCAGTGTGTATTTTCATATGACTTTGCAAATTACTTTTTAAAGTACATCTAAATTCACAGATATTACACGAAAAAGGTTTTTCACCGGTGTGCATTTTCATAATATGTGTTTTCAAATTACTTTTTGCAAAACACTTATATTCACAGATATGACACGAAATAGGTTTTTCTCCAGTGTGTTTTCTAATTATATGGAATTGCAAATTACTTTTTGTAATACATTTGTATTCACAAATATTACACGAAAAAGGTTTTTCTCCGGTATGTATTTTCATATGTCTTTGCAAAGTACTTTTTTTAATGCATTTATATTCACAGATATTACACGAAAAAGGTTTTTCTCTGGTGTGTTTTTGAATAACATGGTATTTCAAACTATCTTTCGTAATACACCTATATTCACAGTTATTACACGAAAAAGGTTTTTCTCCAGTGTGTATTTTCATATGACTTTGCAAACTACTTTTTAAAGTACATCTAAATTCACAGGTATTACACGAAAAAGGTTTTTCACCGGTGTGCATTTTCATAACATGTGTTTTCAAATTACTTTTTGCAAAACACTTATATTCACAGATATGACACGAAATAGGTTTTTCTCCGGTGTGTTTTCTAATTATATGGAATTGCAAATTACTTTTTGTAATACATTTGTATTCACAAATATTACACGAAAAAGGTTTTTCTCCGGTATGTATTTTCATATGTCTTTGCAAAGTACTTTTTTTAATGCATTTATATTCACTGTATGATATGTGTTTGGCGAGAATGTCTTTTGTTGAAAATTTTTTGTTACAACCATCACATTCAAAGATGTATTTTGTTGTTGCCCCTGATGTTTTTTTCGTAAGTATATTTACACTCTTTTGTTTCACAATTTTCTTTTTTATAATCTTTGCAGGATGCTTTCCTTTTTTGTTAATTGGTTGATTACCTTTTTCCATTTTAGGGTTTGATTTAATAGTAGGGCTTTCAGAATCGAGGTTTTCTTTACGTACGTCGTTTATGTTACTATCACATTTTGATTGAATCTTTTTCTCAGATGGTTCTGAAATCACGAATCAGACATTTTATTTATTGTATGACATTGCATTTTTATTGTAAGACACCATAAACGGTTTACAATGGGCTGAGTTTATACATTATGGAATTCTATATCAGTTAACCAAAAGAGAAATAGAGAAATTATAATATTTTACATAATTATACTAAATATTGTTGCTAGATATAAAGTAGGGGGTCATTGTAGAAGCGTGCTCGTCGCGACCCCTGCCAGCCCTTTTCAGGGCTGCAATTCTACTCAGCTGCGCACCCATGTCAACGAGGGTTAGGGCGTCCCCCCAAGGCGACGCACACCAGCTCGTCCCCGTTGGTGTGGAATGCAGCGCGCAAAGCGGCGATGGGGACCGCCACCCGTCACGCACAGCCCGACACGGCGGAAGGTGGAGGACGGAGTGCAGAGTTGGCACGTGGAATGTTAGAGGAGGCATGAGAGATAAGACGAATGAGTTGATCGAAATAATAAAAGAAAGAGAATTAGATGTCGTGTGTATGTCGGAGACCAAACGGAAGGGCAGTGGTACTGAAGAGCTCCCTGGCGGGGCGTTAGCTCTATGGTCCGGAGTCCCGGAGAGCGAGAACGCCTGCCAGGGAGTGGGGGTGCTGCTGTCTTCTCGGTTGGTCGATGTTATGACTGAATATAAGTTTGTGAACTCAAGACTTCTCTGGGTTCGCTTTAAATTGGGACTGGCGAAGTTATTCCTTTTGGCTGTTTATGCGCCGGTGGCTTCGTCGTCCAGGGCTGAGCTGGAGGAGTTTTGGGAGAATGTAAGAGAAGTTCTAGATTTGGCTAGGGGAAACGAAAGGATTGTTGTATGTGGTGATTTGAATGGATGGGTTGGTACCGCTCGACCAGGGTACGAGTCGGTACTTGGAAAGTTTGGCGATAAAAGGGTTAATGATGCTGGCAAGCTTATACTGGCGGTATGCAAGGAAAAGGGTCTTCTTGTGACAAACACTATGTTTAATCACAAGAAAATCCATATGTATACTAGAGAAAGAAAGAATGAGAGAAGTATAATCGATTTGTTCCTGGTGGATGACCGACTGCGAAAACAGGTTATGGATACGCGAGTGTTCAGGGGTGCTGACCTGGGAACGGATCACTATCTAGTGATTACTAGATTTAGGGGTCTGTTCGCGGGTTGGCGCTACCGGACGACAGTGACAGAACCACAGTCGGTCTGTCGCATCCGAAGCTGGAAGCTTCAGGAAGCGGATACTAGGGACAAATATCATGCGAGGGTAGCCGAAAAGCTTGACACCATCGATGGCAGAAACGAATGTGTAGAAAGAACATGGCAGAACCTTAGGGATGGAATGGTAAGTGCAGCGGAAGAAGTGTGTGGAACAATAAAAAGAGGCAGTAGTAAAAGAAGAGATGCATGGTGGAATGATGAAGTGAAAGAAGCTGTAAAGAAGAAGAAGAAAGCATGGTTAGACTACTTGGCCTCTAGTAATGATAAGGATATGAGAGAGAAGATGAAAGAAAGATATAAGCTGCAGAAAGTTCACACGAAAGCATTGATTGAGGAAGTGCGTGAAAGGTGTAGAATGGAAGCGGATGAAAGGTTGTCGCACAACTTTAAGGAGAACTCCAAACTCTTCTGGAAAGAGGTTGGAAGGACCCGAAGTGGTGCGACGGCCTTAAGAATGAACAAAGTGCTTTCGAGAACTAATGACGTCCTCTCAGAAAAATCGGACGTCATGCAGCGATGGAGCGAATTTTATAGAGAAATGTATGCGTGTGATGATCTTAGTGAGGGATCCGGGGATGGCGCCGTGACTGGCACGCCAGACCCGGACCTCGATGACACTGAGGTCATCAGTATGAAAGAGATTGAACGTGCGATTCGAAGTTTGAAATGTGGTAAGGCTGCGGGACTAGACAGTTACTGCTGAAATGGTCAAGTATGGTGGGCCTCGCGTCTGGGACAGCTTTCATCTGCTGTGCAATTTGTGCTGGCGGACGGGGGATGTCCCGGATGAATGGCGATCCGCAGTCATTGTGCCTTTATATAAAGGTAAAGGTTCACATTTTGACTGCGGGTGCTATCGGGCGATCAGCTTGACCAGTTTAGCAAGTAAAGTTTACTCGAAGGTTTTGACACGTAGGATGCAAGAGAAATCGGAAAGATTTCTATGGGAGGCACAATGCGGATTTAGACCTGGAAGAGGATGCACAGATCAAATGTTTTCTCTCCGTATGATCACGGAAAAGCTTCTGGCTGTTAACCAGAAGATTTTCTGTGCTTTTGTGGATCTTGAGAAAGCATTTGATAAGGTTGTAAGGAAGAAAATGTGGGAACTGTTGCCGGGGTATGGTGTGGATGGCCGATTGCTAAGGGCTGTGCAGTCTCTTTACTGTGACTGTAAAGCCTGTGTGCGGGTAGGGCATGACCTGTCACCCATGTTTAGCGTCCAAACGGGCGTAAAACAGGGTTGTGTCATGTCTTCCTGGCTGTTCATACTGTATCTCGACAGCTGTTTACAAAAGCTGAAAGATAGCTGTTTGGGTGTGAAATTGGGTGACATAAAAGTAAATTGTCTGCTGTATGCTGATGATGCAGTGCTTATTGCACCATCAGAGGCAGAACTGCAGGCATTAGTCACGTGTATGAAAGAGGAATGTGAAATTAAAGGTCTCCGTTTGAATGCTAATAAAACTAAGGTTCTGGTATTTGAAAGGGACGAAGAGAGAACGAAGTGTGAAATATGGGTAAATCAGGAATGTCTAGAACAGGTAAATGAAATTGTATACTTGGGGAGTGCTTTTAGCCGGGATGGAAGATGTGATTTAGATGTGGACAGGCGTGTCGCTGCCGGGAACAAAGTCAATGGTGCCCTGACTGCGTTAGTCAAAAGGCAAGGCGTAGCGAAGAGTGCACGCCTTGCAATACATAACGCAGTGTTGGTACCGACTTTGTTATATGGCAGCGAAACCTGGGTATGCCAGAAGAAGCATAAAAGTAAGTTGAATGCAGTGGAGATGCGATCTCTTCGTAAAATGTGCGGCGTTACTATGGCCGACCGAAAGCTTAACGAAGAGATTCGCAATATGGCAGGTTTGAAAGATGACCTTATCACAAAAATTGATAAGGGCGTGCTTCGGTGGTTTGGGCACGTTGAGCGAATGAGTGAAGACCGAATGGTGAAGAAAATATATAGCGCGAAAGTTAATATTAAAAGGTGTCGAGGTAGACCGAGACTAACTTTCGAAGACCATGTGAGCAAATTGCTCGAAGAGGGTAGGGTCAAGAGTACTCGGATACCTAGACGTGCATGTATGAAGAAGATAATGAATCTGAAAGAAGCGAAAGAGATATGTAAGGATCGTGACACTTGGCGATCTGTTCTCTCTGGCTACCCCGTCAGGGATTGTGCGTGAAGATAAGTAAGTAAGTAAGTAAGTAGATATAAAGTATTTTAACCAATAATATAATGAATAATGTCTCTCATATTCATTTTCGGAGGAAAACAGTTGTATTCGTTTCACAATATTTATTTTAAATTATTAATATACTACCCTGTGTAGTGGCGGGTATGGCCACTACCCCATTTTTTCTCGTGGGTGTCGTAAGAGGCGACAGAGGGAAACTGAGGCAGAAGATAGCCAGAAGAATCTATCTGATAACAGCAAGACAACAATAAAAAAACTGCGGTTGCCAATCCGCTCGCCAAGAGTGGCAACTATGGCAATATACCCCCATTGTTAAAGTTACGAAGAGACGGCTCGCAATTCCCGGCGGCCCAGCTATTCCAGACTACGGTGGCGACCATGGAAACGGCGGGGCAGGGGTGCTAAGAATCTCTGGTGGAAGTTCGGTTTCCATCTAACTTTAAACAAGATAATTGTATGCCCTACAAATAATACTTTTGGTTCTAATATTGCTCATGTGTAATTAAAAAACAAAATTTTGTATGTGAAGTACATCCCCAACTACATGATACAAGAGAAATTTTTAATGTGGTTTTATTTATTACTTGATACAGGTTTTTTTAAATAAATTATTTTACCTATGTTATCATCATCTTTTTTATTATTTCTGCATTTTTTTTTTAGTTCTTCAGTCTTCGATTTCTCTTTACTTTTTGAACCAAATGCAATTATTAGTGGCAAGTCATTCTCTGAATCCGTTTGTCTATCTCCAAAAGCATCAATCTCCAATTCTTCTGCTTTTCCAGCAATCTCTAGAATGAAACATATTCTGCCGCAATAATTTTTTTTATAGAATAAGGGTGACAAACGAACACACAGTCCACCTGATGGTAAGTGGTTGCTGTGGCCCATAGACATCTAAATCTATCTTCGGTTACAAATCAAAATTCAGATGCGTTGTCACCCGTGAGGACTAAGATGGAATGCCTTGTTTCCAGTAAAAAGGGTCTCCGGTTCTCTACACTCACCATACGAAACACAGCTGCGTTAAGCTGCTATTTTACGCTGGTATTCTGTGAGAGCGTGGTCCTT